TATGTGTTTTCCAATTATTTACGTTTTTTTTTAATCAATATATGTAAAAAACATCATGATTGCTTTCAGAATCTGTTCAATGTAAGTCAGCAGGTTAATCCAATGTTCACGAAATCTGCAGGATCTATAATATGTTTCGAGGGATGGAGCAATAACCTTGACCACATAAAATACCTCTGTTATATATTTTTAGTGGTACATACAAACTTTACTTGCTAATGTTTATAGTGCCATGGTTCTATAACCTGTCAATAATTATCTGTTTTATTCCTGTTCCTCACAGCTCTTAAGCTGTCTTTCATCTTTCAAGATTACAATTTCTAGGAACCTTACACATTGAATCAAGAAAGTATATGCATACTCGGTTGTTTGAAATACATTAAGTTAGACACTACCATAGTAATATAATTTGTCTTTTTTGAAGCTATATTATACTCAATAATACAATGAACAATTATTATTCAAGTTTACAATGTACTAAGATAATTGTAATGTGTAATTAATTGCACGATTTTTTAATTTTCTCGAAGTTCTTAATATTTCTAAAATTGTACGCCATTTTCGTAAAGTGTTGACAAATCTAAATTGTTTCAATCTAGTATTTTAATTTACATTTTCTTATAGAAAAAATTAAGTGTGAAAATAATTTTGCTTAGGTTGCAGGTCAATGAACGTGTGGAATATTATAAACGACGAACCTCCAAAATAATGGTAAAGACTGGCCTTTATTCTGATCGACTAAAGAGTTGCAAACTATGTAAACCAACTGTAAAATCGATCTTCCCGTCTATCGTTTGTGCGCAAAATATTGTTTTTGTTCTGTAATCAATTTGAACGATATACAAATCAATGCTGGAACAGTTAAAAGACAGCTCGAAGAGCGCATTAGAAACCAACACTGACAAGGGAAGTTTGGGAAATTCAAAAAAATATGAATAACTCCATGTATAAGTAGAATAAGTCATCCATAACACATACCTATCTTCCGTTCGTATCATAATTCACTTTTAAGTGGTGATATTGAAAAAAAGTTTAAATCAAAGTTGGATGTTATTTTTATGTTTACAAGAATGTGTAAACAATGTTTTGAAAAAGTCGATACTTTCTGAGTTACCCCTTGCACCACCCCTTAAATTTCATTTTTTGATGATTTTAAATTCAGGTTGAAATGCTTTTCGGTACCCACTATCAATTCTTGTAAATATTTTATTTTATACATACTTTTTATAAATAAATAAAGCGTCTATATTATCGAATTTAAAGTCTGCTATAGCAGTCTTATTATTAGAGTGGTTTCATAACCTACATTATCAATTATATAAATTTCTCAGTCTGTAATATGAAATTCGATTGTGCTGCCATTACGAATCGTACACGTGATCAATTAATTTATTGAATTTCATATCATAGTCTGAAATTTATATAATTTATTATGTAAGTTATCTGTTATAAAACCACTCTGATAATAAAAATGCTATAGCAGACTTTAAATTCGACAATAGATGCTTTATTTATTTATAAAAATATACATATAAAATAAACTATTTACAAGAATGGATAGATGGTACCGAAAAACACTTCAACTTAAATATAAAAAAATCAAAAAATGAAATTTAAGGGGTGGTAACTCAAAAAGTATCGACTTTTTCAAAAAATTGTTTACACATTCTTGTAAACAAAAATAACATTCAACTTTTGTTTAAACTTTTTTTCAATATCACCCCTTAAAAGTAAATTATGGCACGAAGGGAAAATAGATATGTGTTATGGATGACTTACTCTACTTGTACGCGAAGTTCCATATTTTTTTGAATTTCCGGGTTCTCAAACTTCCCTTGTGAGTACCAAAAAAAAATGTGACTTGCATCTGTCGAAGCTCACAAACATTGGTCGAGTCAGGATTGACAAAAAATATTATTCTCAACCGAATTAAAGTTGAATCGTACTTCTTCCGATGGATTGCGATATGTGAGACGTCATTCTGCAGAAGATTCGCAACCGCAGTGTATTTTTTTTTTATTAATTTCTTTCTTCCAATTCGTCTTAATGAATTGAAATTTTACCAATTTCGTTCTTTCTTCCAATTCGTCTTAATGTTCCATCCTTTACTGTACTATTCTCAGTTGTATTGTCAGTTGTATCCTCAGTTGTGTTAGGAATGCTAGGACACCTTGTATTTCACGAACGATGTACTTATTAGCTAGAAATATGAAAACGGCCTCGACATTTCATTAGAAGGTGTACAATTGAATATTCGTCGAATACATAATATGTTCTCAACAGGATGACTATCCCAGCTGGTATAGTAAGAGCTACATCGAAAATAGGCTCTTCCTAATTGACAGTCTAATTTCGGGGTCAGCTGTCTGCTTCGGCATAAGCCTATAGATTGTTATTATGATTCTATCATCTTAATTTTATAAATCTGTTATCTCAGAGCAAGGTTGCTGTTTAGGTAACTCATCTAATATAATTTCTGCCATAATAATATTTTCTCATATATTTGTATGTGAAAGTGAACACAATGCTTTAACTGTTGCATGAAATATTGGCATCACCTCTCTCTCTCCGGTCAAAATATAACGAAAGAAATTAGTATTTGTTAAAAGTGCATCGACGATAATTACGATTTACAAAGGCAGGCAATATTTAATTTTTTATTTAATCAATATTTTGTAACCCGCAGACGCTTCATAATGTTTTTTCGATATCATAATAGCAAAAATATGTATTTAGACGCGTGTGGGTGTTATTTACATAATTATTCTGCCCTTGTATTTCGCACACGTGTACCTTATTAAAAGCAGGTGCCACGTCAGCGGTGCTTCATATCTTTTGTATAAGATAATTTGTGCAGCTCAGTTCGTTAAGTACACCGAGTCATTATTTTAAGAAGGCGCACTATTTCTGATGTGCTAAAATTAATTGAAGCCGCGGTCTTGTAACAGGATAGATAGATGAGAAAAGGATACAACGTCGCACAATGATCTGTAACGCTTTTGGTATTTATTTTCAGTATTGAACACGAAACTCCTTTATCAAATGTCATTGCAGTACGTGCTGGAATCGATTCGAATATCACAAAGAATGTACGAACTTCAGCAGTCCCACAATTCGAGCGTTGCGTTTAATGCAAATCGACACCACTTCGAGTTGGTGTTTGACTCTGTCTAGTTTCTTAAAATTAATTGAAATTTTCATATATCTCATCAGAGCTGGGTAATATTTGCGGAAAATACATTTCGAATACTATTTGAAACAATGAAATGAAATTTTTCTCTAAATGAAATAATTTTATTTTGATCATTTCAACCATAAAATTTCTATTTTTATTCTACTGTGTTGATAAACATACACAGATTGAGAAGCTATTTTTGGCAAATATTATGATTTCCTGCGCTTGATGATTATATCTCTTCATAACTAATTTTACGAAGTATTACTAGCTAATTTTTTATTGTATTATATAGGAATATCATCGGTATATTTCAAATAAAACGCAATTTGAGATACTTTCTTCAACACTATTTACAATAAATGATATATTTCATTTATATAATTTAACCTTGACAAGTTTGGAAAATTGGTAGCAACCGATATTTATTGCTTATATTTGTTTTGTATTGCATTTACATTTAAAAATTGGATATTATAATCGTTACAATAAAAGTATTTTGTGCATTATCTAAGCTTCAATGTCTGCCTAAATGTTTTTTCTCAATCTGTACGCCTTTTGCTTGGACTCCAATCAGAAATACAAACGAAACATTAATAAAATTCATTCAGCCGATGCCGAAAATATGCAAGACTGTTATTCAAGCAAAGAGTGGGTACATTGGCGAAATGCGTTTAAACCGAGATAAGTATAAATTACTGCTACAAATACAATCACTGTAATTATTATATACTTCATTTTAAGACATAATGGAAATATAAAACAAATATAAAGAGTATATATATATATATCACCAGCAAAAGCTGTATTCTTCTCAACTTGCGATACCGTTCGAATACTTATGTACTGTGCCAAACAAAATACTTATTTACTATGTATTTTACCCAGCTCTGTGTTTTATTTTGCAAAGCAAATGAAGCACCGCTGACGTGGCACTTGCTTTTAATAAGGCGCAGTTTTAATAACTGCGTTGATTAGCACCTCTTCGTTCTTAATCATTTCTCTAATAGATGGCTCCTTTCACTTTAATTCCTAAATTGCAATAACAGAAGAATCAAACTTTGTTTTAGATGAAGTGAATAACATTTATATGTAGTAGACTATGTCTGAAATCAATTACGAGTCTGAACCGTTGTTACAGCGCAAGAGATTAAGGCCAATAGAAAAAATAATGTGTGTCTAGAGAGAATATCGTAAAAAAATACGTTGGAAAGACCCGTAAATAAAATTGTAAATGATCAGTTCCGTTTTTGCTCAGAAAAAGATTCGCCGCTCGAGTCTTCAGATCGACACGTGCGTCACTTGTCGAAATCTACAAAATATCCGCTATTTTACTAGAAATGAGAAAATGCACTGTCTCTCGTTTATAAAAATATAGAGTTACCTTGAAATTTCTCCGTGAACCCGCCATCCACCAAAAAAACTATTATGGAATGTTCCGATCCCCTTGGTACAACTTTCGTAAACAAACTTTATCTATATTTCTAAAAATAACGAAAATATTCTAAATTGTCAAAGCTATTGCCCCATCCTGCATGACCTCGTCTCGTCTACCATCTGTGTAAATTGTATATTTTTATAATTCACCAATTAATAGAAGGCTCGTTTGATCAGATTTACACTTGTTTGCTCACTTGAGAAAAATGAGAAAAATATATATGATATGAGAAAAATGAACAATAAATTAGATATTCATACAGCACCCTCCCATTAAATCATTACCCCTTGCCTTAAAAGAACGAATCAGACTTGTAATGAAGTTTTCATACATGATCTACCAAATATGAATGTTATTCATTTTTTTCCACAAATTGGAACATGATTCATGTATTATTAAAGCGTAGAAATGAAAGTAAATGAAGACATAGAAGAAACAAAAATGATTAAGGACGAAAGAATGCTAATCAACGCAGTTGTCATAATGAAAGGAGATAAATAACAGAATCTAACGGTTGTTTCGCTGACAGCTCCTTTTACAGATTTAATCTTCTCCCTGTCAACGTCAAGGCATATAATTTTAACGAAAATATCAGATTTTGAACATGAAATAAATTCAGTTTTAAGCGATATAATTTCGTTGGTCTTGTTGAATTTAAAGACTGCTGCTGATGTAGTGCAGCTGGTAAGATTGCATTTCACAGACTAACTAAAATGCTTTTTAACCAGTTAGCCGTTTCCGACGAGTATACTTGCCATGTAGAAATGGCAATATTTTGTGTTACGACAAATATACTTGTCACGCATAAAAATTTGCTTTGCAATTTTCAAATTTAAATTGCAACTTTTGTGGAAACAAATATATCCATCAATTTTAAGATGTGTAGAATATTCGGAGACCGAGATGAAATAAAACATAGAAATAAAAGAATATAAATAATTGTTATGAGAAAACTGTATGTGTATAGTGTCTGGATTAGGTAATAGTTGTGATTGCTTACTTTTTGCGAAACGTTTTAGGTACACACCTCTCAAAGTGGTCGCAACAGGTTAACTGGTTAAATCGCACAATCGTACAAAGCGAAACCATACAGATAGCGGAAGCATGTCGGCGAAGAAATGGTTTTAATATTCAATTTGTGGAACGAGGAGAGCCAATGTTCTCAAGAGATGCTTAAAATCATAGCAATTTATTGGGTTGTCCGGAAAGTTCGTGCCGATTTTCGGTAGGTAGCGTGAGAGACCTAACCGAATATATCACAATTATTGAAAACAAATGGTATGTGTACATATTCTAAAAGAGATAACTTCAGCCATATTTGGAAAAAAGCTTGGTTACGATTCGTTCATTTTTATCAGTTTTGTACGCCTTAGAATATGGTGGCAAATAAAGTGCATTATAGGCATTTAATGCTTTTCTTTTTCCGAAAGGGCAAAAATGCCACACAAGCGGCAAATAAAATATGCGCTGTTTATGGCGAGGATGCTGTAGCCGAAAGAACTGTGCGGAAGTGGTTTGCTCGGTTTAAAGCTGGAAATTTCGACCTTGAAGAACAGAAATCGAGAATAACCCACGCTCAACATTACGTCAATTCGCGGGAATGCTAAATAAATCAAAATCAACCATCCGCGATCATACTGTGAAGTTTGGCTCCAATATTTAAATGAGCTGCGTTTTAATTTTCCTAAAAAATCGGCACGGACTTTCCGGACGACCCAATATTTCCTACATGTCACCTAATTTCTCAATTGGAATAAGGAAGATGCAAAGCAACGTTCACTACCGTCACTACGGAAAGCTGTATATCGGAGTTTATTCACAACGTGATCGAGTCGTCTCAGCCAGAATTACTGTAGCAAATGTACACGTAAGTAGAGTAATAGTCCATCGACTTGCCTGTGAACCAACGGTAACGGTTTCGATACCAACGTTCGCCGTCTTCGGTGTTGTCTGACATGTTTCGTTCTGTTTCTCCTTCTGCTTCACCGAATCGCCGCCGACCTTCGCTGTCTTCCCCGGTGTTGCAGAGGTATTGTTCACGTTATCATAAAGGGACGCGCTAGACGTTGCTGCCGTTATTTTCTCCCGGGTCACGTCCATTTCCGTGGATCGTGCCATGGTACGTGGGAGCGTAGAGGTAGCTGTTCGCGAACCACACAAACGACAAGATTCAGTATTTTTAAAAATGCAGGAGAGAGTTTCGGGAGAACGTGACAGAAACCTTAACTGTGATACTAAATAAATTTGTCATAATCGAAGAAATTTGATCCACGGCCTCAAGGTCGAGCGAACGTACAGTATAAAGGGTGAGGCACTAAATAAAGTTGCCACAATCGAATAAATTTGATCCAATATCTCAATATCAATTGTACGTAAAGCACTAAATGAAGTTGCCATAATCGAAGAAATTTGATCCACGGCCTCAAGGTCGAGCGAACGTAAAATATAAAGGGTGAGGCACTAAATAAAGTTGCCACAGCCAAACAAAAAAATCCAATACTTCAATATCAATTGTACGTACAGAGTAAAAGTACACTAAATAAAGTTGCCACAATCGAATAAATTTGATCCAATATCTCAATATAAATTGTACGTAAAGCACTAAATGAAGTTGTCATAATCGAAGAAATTTGATCTAATGTCTCAGTACGAAAATAGCCAAATATGGAGTACCATTTTCTTTTTCGAATATCGTTTTCACAATTAAATCGCGATTTAAACGCAGTGTTATATTGTTTACACCATAAACAATTTTAAATATTCAATTGGTGTTTGAGAAGCATAAATGGTACTAAATATGGTACAGCTACCTAAATATGGAACATTGTCATCGTGTACAATATTTTTAAATAAAATAATAAATAGCTTTGTTCTTTGTAGTGATCGAGGAACTATGATTACAAAATCGAATGTTTAACAAAAAATTAAATTTAAAAAATCCTGTTCGTAATAATTAGATATGCAATTGTTAAACACGTTTTAGGTTCCTACATTTTACAAACACTGCGCTTACATCCCTACTGTTTAAATATTGCACTATTCTATGTTAAAGTACTATTTCATATCTGGTCACTATCCTCTACTATTTGAAACCAAAAATGCAGGTACGATTACTGAAGATACGACTAAGTTGTTATTCTGCAAGTTGTTTGATAGATAGAAGAATGTTGTACGATGTACGAGATTGTATTAATATTTTAATCGATCGAATCGTTTGGTTCTGAAGACAATTTTGAACATTCTTGTCATTGTGAGTGAATGGAAATTATCTCTTTTTACGACATACCATGGTATTCGTTATCATGAGCGTTGTCAGTTTATGAACGAACATACACAGTACTTATTAAAAACTAATTACATTGACTTTTAATAGCTTTCCCTTCAATCTCATTTAATAAAATTCATACTATATGAACAACGTCTTTCTCTATACCAAACAACTATCGCAACAACAATTTTTGCATATCCCATGCTCGTAACGTAACTAAAAAAACATGGTTTTATGTTGTAGCTACAATTGTAAGAATCCTATATTCATTTATCTACACAACTAAAAACAGTTGAAGAATTTTAAAAATCCAAGAACATCGCGACATTATTTTCAAATTATTAAAATGATCAACAATAGAAATCAATTCGTATTCCTCTTTCATTTATTACAACTGTTAATTTTCCGTAAAAATTTGCGATCAAATTGAACTTGTTCTATGAACGTTGTCCATCCATCTTCATTGTCGTTACCAAAATCAATGTTACACATTTTTGTCGCGAGCGTGTGTGATAGCATGTACAAATCTAGAAGATACCGCTGCATTTTCAGTTTCTAAAAAGAAACGCTACAGGCGAGTGTAAAACAAAGGGGCCGAAATTAGGCAATTAGAAGTTACCGCAGAAATTCCGGAATTTGGCTTCTTGATTTCGAAGTCGGGCAAATTGTTCCGGGGTCATACAAGTGCATTGCGGCTCTCTGGATCTGCTCGGCGATGCCGGTGTCGATAGTGGCTTTCTTCTCGTTTTGATCTTCTGCTTGTTCGGTGGTTCGAGCTTCAACGAGTAAGAAGAGGACGCTTTCCTTGTAATCTTGAACGACGGTGACTGTATGAAAAATTAACTAATGACTGTAAATCACTCGAGTCGGACCGAATCGATTTTGCTATCCCCAAACACCCGTGATTGCGTTACGGGTAGACCATTCTTTTCGTTTTCGTTCGATTCATATGAGTGTAATGATTCTTTGTTATCGTCATAGCATCCTGAATTCCTTTGCAACGCGGCCAGTGCAAACGCAAACCACACTTGAACAAGCGAATACAATGAAAAAAAAGCTCGGCCGTTTTCCACTCGAAAATATGATGTGAATGTTCTATGCCGTCCACAACGTAACAACATACTGCATTCGCAGCGCAAAGCGAAAGATTGAGTCCTCGCGTTACGGAAATCGATCGAAATACCACTGATTCTAATCATTTTTAAGCATCAGTGTAAACAAGGCACCGTAAAGACTACAAACAGCGTTTATATTCGAATATTTGAAAAAGAGTGGCAAATGTTTTATACATTCTTTGGCTATCGTTTTATAAATTTCGGTTATAGATAGACTCAGAAAATATTTGAAACAAAGCGGAAAAGCCTGTAACATTCTATGGATCTCATTTTCTTAATTCAGATTAAACAGACTTCGAACATCATTTATATAAACAGAGCGTAAATTATTTGAAGCAAAGTGGCGAGCGGTTTAAACTTCTTTTGGATATTATTTCATGAATTCAAATTATATATATATATATATAGGCAGACTCAAAAAAATGTGTAACGCTTTTTTATACAGGAAAATTTCGAAACATTCAAATTTCTTGCAACAATGAATGATCATAGTAACAAATTTTGTGGATCTAATTTTTGTAACAATTAAATCGACATTTGCAAAGTACGCGAAACACTCTTACCTTATTTTAAATATTCAAAATACAGCTCTGTTGTTTGTAGACTATCGCGTCACAATGTTCGTGTAGTATTGTTTCGTAAACAGCCTTTTTTCGGTTTCAACGATAGGTACGATGTGAACGACAATGAGAGAAAACGGCGGAACTTTTCGCCGACCTGATACAAACAGCTTGCGCTGCGAACTTACGCAACATTCTCTGAATTGTTTCGCGTCTATGGGGGAGGTAAAATTCAATCCCCACGTATCGTTGGTCATCGTGTCTTTCCAGTAAACGAAGCATTCTGACGCTTGCCCGATGCGTGTTCCTTAAACAGAACGAAACAACGATTTTGTCCTCTGTTATTTCTCGATCGACGACCAGCTTCTCGTTTACACGGCGGGATCGTTTTGAAATCGGCGAGGCTTACCTGGCTGAACCAGTCGCACGTCCAGAATTTTGTCGACTTGGCTATTGTACGCGGTGATATGGAAGACGCATTCCGGCGAATCTTGGATGCAAGTAATATTAACTGGAACCAAGTCTTCCGAGACCTGCTGCCATTTTACTGTGCCCGCCCCGCTGGCGCTTACATGGAACACTTCGGCCCACAACCTAAAAAACCTCATTGCTCAATTGTCGTCAATCCGCTGGGATCGCGGCACATTGGAACTGGTTGATATACTTGGACAAAATACAATCGGGAAGAAAAAAAAAGACTCGAAGAAAAATAATCAGCCCGTCGGAATGCTCTATAAATCGTTAATTTCCAAGACAGATAATAAATCGGCGTACCGAGCCGCCGTTCAATTTCTTTTCTCTTTGTTTCGTTTCATTTCCTCGGCGTTTCTCTGTTTATACGGAATCTCGTAATAGCAATATCGGGCCATAATTGCGAGTCTTATGATTAGGTGAAACGGGAGAACAATGGAATCGATCCAATCAAGAAAAAAAAAAATAGAAAAGAAAACGATAAGTTACGGTTTTACTTTTACGATATCAGTTTACGGTGGACGCATGCATCTCCTACATCATCAGCCGGTGTATAATAATATTCTATCGAGTCATGTGTAAGTATATCGATGTGTGTGTATGTGTATATACGCTCGCGTGTGTGCAATTGTGTACGCGCGTGTGTAAATAAAGCCGGCAGGCGTGTAACGCAGTCCCATTACTGTACGCATGTGCTGTGCAACATTATGCAACACGCAAATTTCATTCTCCTGGAGGTGGAAGACGATGCACAGGCTTCCGGAAAACAAGAACATGCACTGGTGCTCGCGTTAATTAAGCAATATCGAGTGCCGCATTACGGAGCCATGCAATCGGAACGCAAATCGTCGGGAACAAAGTGGCAAAGAAACCGTGTGTCGGAGACCGTGCGAGAGGCGTTCATGCAAGAGCCAGAGAGAAGCGCATGTCAACAAACTCGATGTAAATGTACTGCCATATTTTAGTAGTACGTTCTGTTATACGATAATTGTATTATAAACGTTGTGGACAGGCTAAGAAAAGGATCTAGAATCGCGTTGCGATTACAATAAATTCTCCCTAATCGTCGCCCAGGTCGTATACAAAAATCGACAATTTGAGAAGGGGAGATACGATTATTCGAGCCACGCGGCTCGTTTTCATAGTTATCGATTGTCAACAACTATAAAAACGAGCCGCGAAACTCGAATAATCGTATCTCCACTCTGAAACTGTCCACTTTTGTGTGCAATCTGAGCGTCAATTAGGGAGAATTTACTGTATTACTATCAGCGGCAACTCTGTGTGTGTGTGCAAACGATACAACGACCTGTCCACGGTGTATGGTCGAGATCACGGTATTCAAGCACGAAATATATACCAGACCACGGTATTCGTGTACCGATTGTATTTCGAGTGTAACTAGTTTCCTGTCGTTAACGCCGAGAGGAACGCCAATGTCGATTCGAAAACGATTTTCCCGCTTTCGTTTCTTTCTTTTTGGAATCCATTGCGAATTTCGCAGAGGTGTCTCGACGGCATGATTTCGGAGCTTGAACGACTACCAAGACGGTAAAGAAACAGAGAAAGACCAGAAATTGATAAAAGAGGACAGATTGCATTCGGAAATAAAGTCAGAATAGAGAGAAAGGAAGAGAAAGTGACTTGACCAAACGCGCAGATGATTGTTAATACAAGTTTCTGTTCACTGTGTATGTATGCGCGTCTCTGTATGGGTGTGGCTCCGGTGTGTGTGGTGTATGTGTGTGTTGTGCGTGTGTGGTGTGTGTGTTGTGGTGTTGTGTGGTGTGTTGTGTTGTGTTATGCGTGTGTGGTGTGTGTGTGGTGTTGTGTTGTGTGGTGTGTGTGTGTGTGTTGTGTTGTGTGGTGTTGTGTGTGTGTTGTGTTGTGTTGTGTTGTGTGGTGTGTGTGTATGTGGTGTGTGTTGTGTGTTTGGCGCAGGGGAAAAGTAGGCAGAAAGAAAAAAGAGACAGAAAGGAAGCGTATAGAAACGAAACGGAAACGGAATCACCAGCATAAGAGAAGAAAGAGAAGACGTAACTGAAGGTGGAATGATCTTGTTCGACCAGCGGTAGCGCTTAGCCAACGTTACTTTCAAATGCCTCGTCTTCTGTGTACATGTATATGTATATTGGCGTGTTCGATTAGACGTTATCAAACGATACAGTCGATCGAGTCCAGAGAAAGTACTGCGTTACGCGATATTTCTCGCGATTATTCCGTTATGTAACGTAAGAAGAACATACTTGATATATCGTGTTCAATTTAAGAACGAAAGAAATCGATACCTTCCATTTCGTCCGATGCACTATCGCACAATACGTAAAACGGGTTTTCCATTCGTATGCACGCATATCGATCTTCTAATTCTCAGTTAAGCGCGGAAAAAATCTGCCGACGTACGTACGTACGTATGCATGTTTGTATGGACATCTGTACACATCATCGAAAGAACACACATGTATGTATGTATGTATGCCTGTCATATTACATGTTACGTGTGGGTATCGTAAATTCGTTGCTTACAAAGACAAGAGAGAGGGAGAGAGAGAGAGAGAGAGAGAGAGAGAGAGAGAGAGAGGAAGAAAGAAAGAAAGAAAGAGAGAGAGAAAAAGAGAGAGAGAGAGTAAAAGATGTTTAACAAGTCAATTGCGATCCATCGTTCGTAAGAGACAAACATAAAGTGAAAATCAAAAGTCAAAATTATGCTCTACTCGAGGAAAGAATTACAAATGCATTCAAAAATGTAAAATGTGTGCGAGTGACTTAATATTTAATTTCTTCTTCTTTTTTTTCTCGAAAGAATAACAAAAACTGAATAACTATGTAGTCGAATGGAGTGGTTGAATGGTTGAATGGTTGAATGGTATGGTATGCGCACCTCTTCCTTTCTCTTAAGCTTCCGCACCTGATCAAGTGGCCAGTATCACCCCTACGACTTCCGCTGCTGACCATTCCGCCCCTAGCCGCTGTCTGCCATGGGGAATCTTCGTAACGATACGCCTTTCTGATAAGGGGAGCGCAACTACAAGACAACTTATTGCCCATTCTATTCTTCTTATTCTGTTATTCCACCTGTGACTTTTCTCCCCCTTTTACGCAATCTCTCGCCAATCCGTTTGCATTTATTACTTCTCTTGGATCGCCACGTTTCACAGTCTTCCCGTTCACCGAATTTCCGCCCTCTCCACCTCTTACTCCTCAGATTCTGAATCTAATCGTCGTGTAGCATTCGATCGATCCCTCTCGCTCTTTTCCTTCAGCTCTCTCGCATTTCTCTTTCTCTCCGATCGCTACCGACCCCCTGGGCTCTCTATCTTTCGCGAAATGGAGACGCTACGTGAACTGGCTTGTCACGTGGATTGGCTTGTCTATCGACTTTTGGCACCGTTTATCATTTATCGAGGACCGATTCAGTCCTTTTTCATCTCTCTTATAATAATTATCTTTTCCCGCCTCTCATTCTGCTTCGTTCTCTTCTATATTTGATTTCTTCACTTTCGTTTTATCTTTTCTTTTTGTTTCGTCTCCTCTCTTCTCTTTCGTGGTACTATTATGGGAAGCGCTGCGTGTACTGTGTATAACAGGGACAATATCTCCCGTCATTCAAGAGGATACAGGAGGAGATATCTTTATTGTCACATCATTGCAGATGTTCGAAAGGTCATCAGCTAGTCCCTGACATGATCACTGAAAATACAACAATTTCGTTAGATTAATTTGCATTCCTCAGTCTCCCTTAGACGTAGTTTCAACCGTCGCGCGTAGTCTCTAAATTCTCCTCCAACTATCGAGTAGTTAGGCTAAACGTATACGCCGACAGGAGAGGTAATAAAGCGCGCAACTTGTTTTCCCGACACGGTGGACGGTTCGAGTATCTACCGACAACAAGTCACGCTTACACAGAACAACGATCGTGAGTGTCCAATGGCGAAAACGATCAAATAGGTTTCGCGAGTTCTGCTAACACCGAGAGAACTCTCTATGTTCGACGCGTGGCAACCGTTAAGAAAGCGCACGACAACCTCTTGTTGACGATCGTTGCGTAAAGTCTCGAAATCTCTTGGTTCGAGACGGAGATCGGTCGGCGATCGAGAAAAAGGTGATCCTAATCGTGACACGATATCGCAAACGTTAGCGAGATGAATGAAGCGGATCAGGGCATTGCGTGGATGTGTCACGGATAATAATAGGGGTGGTGTCGCGGGAGGGTTACTGAACCGGTGTGTGACGACTCTTCGACAACGTAATACGTAATTCTCCGTACACACGAAATTGTGCAACGTCCAACCGCGTTTCCTCGAAGAAGCGATTATTATGTATGATCGTCGCTGTCGACTCCCAAAGAGATCACCCGATCCGAATGTTCACCCCGAGACAACCGTCACGGACCAACGAAATTGATTGAAACGGTGGAGCTAGTTAACGGTAAAACAACACCGCGAGCACTAGTTCCAAGTTCGATCTCCGGACGCCCGTCTACTTGCTAACTCGCGAGCGATAGCTGCAAGTTGTACAATGTGTTACAGAGTCAACGAATCGTCCGACAGCAACCGAACGTAACTTTTGATTAGCTCTGAACCGAAACGTTCGAGCACCAAAAAATGCGTGCGACAGAAACTTTTCAAACACTATATCGATTTCGAGTCTGATGCAGAGGTAACACTTGACATCCGCGTCTAAACATGAATGGCGGGTGTATAAAGCCGGCCACATTTGTCGTATCCCCTCGACGCTCGACTTTCGTCGATTTGCTGGTCACCGATAATTAGATCACGGCTAACAACGAGCAAAATGTAGCGATCCCGGGTAAAGCAGTTCGAACAGCTCGTGAACAATCTTTGACACCTGTTTTACGCGATTGCACGGGGAGCCGAGAGTCGTAGCGCGATCAACGAGCACCGAAGAGTTCTGTACATCGCGACGGTGTGTCTGACCGAAACGGCAGACACCGCCTAGTTTGGTGGCACCTCGCCACCCTGGCTTTCGAGTAAACACTGCGCCAGCCAGAATGCACCACCCGCGCTGTCCACCGCTCAATCAACGCCCCTCGGTGTTCTACCCACCTTTCGGCCGAAGAAACCGAGCGATCTACCCACCCTCGATCCAAAATTCTTACGCCTCGGCCTCTCTCGGGTCCGTCACACCTTCTCCTACTATAACGCTGCCACTTCACTCCTTTCTTGCTGCGTTCTCTTTCATTCTTCGCCCTTTCACGTATATACACCCCCGTCGTCGTGCTCTTCTGTTCTCTGTTTCTCTATCTCGTTCTCCCACTCCGGCCCCTATCGCAATCCCCTCGTTTACACAGAGAGACACGGACAGCCGTACCAGCTAGCATACGTCCACGCACAAACGAAAAATCCTCGTCTTCGCTCCCATTCTTGTTCTTGTTCCGCCCGTGTACGTGTACGACGGTCGTATGCACGCCCCGCTGCCGCGCCGCGACGTTCGCGGTTACACTTTTTACGTTACGTTACGTTGCTTTCCGTCACGTTCCGTTTTCGTGTCGTATCGCCTCGTTACGGGGATCAGAACTCACCATCAGCGAAAGCATCCTCCTCCGGGGGGTGTGCGACTTCTCGAACTCGCGGGGCGTAACAACAAAACACGGCAAAAGACAACGGGCCGCGGAATGAGAGAGCGAGAAAGCAGAGGGCAAGGAGTGGTGAGAACGACGGTACAGATACGTAGAAGGGAGGAATGGGAGGGAAAGAGAAAAAAGAAAGCGAAGCTGTGCGAACGAGTGAGAGACAGCAAGATAAACGTGCAAGCGGAGAGGGGTTAGCGACGGTGCCAAAGAAGGGATGGGCAACCGTGGTCGTAGTAGAGGGGTGGGATCATGGTATCCACCCTTCCGAAAAGTAAATAATTCGCGAGCGGATTATCTATCGATGCGGCGCCGAGGATTAACCGAGGACCAAATCACTTGACCGCGACGGTGTCCTAAATTGGGAATACTATACGCCGAATATTTCCGGTATTTCGCGCGAAATCCTCGCGGACGACGTAGCCATGGATACTGCAGGATCGAGCAAAAGAGGCGACTGCCCCGTTACCCACCTCCCCTTCTTCTACGAATGCGCGCCCCTCGACCGAAAATGTCAATATCCTCTCTTGCTGCGCCCGCGATGCGCTCCATGTTACTCTGAACAGCCCTCTATGCGTTTTCTATTCCTCTCTCTCTCTCTCTCTCTCTCTCGCTCTCTCTCTCTCTCTCTCTCTCTCTCTCTCTCTCTCTCTCTCTCTACTACTACTACCCTCTTCCGCTCGTTTCGCCTCGGCTCGTCGCTCTTATCACTTTTTTTCGTTGCTGTTCTCTCGATTTTTCCATCATTTGCCACTTCTTAACCCTCTGGATATTTCACCCTTTCCTTCTTTCGCCCCGTCTTCCCTCCCCCCCCCCGGCGACCGCCACCTCCCTCGCCCTTCCCTACCACGCTGCTCCCTTTCCTCTCTTCACCCCGGTTTTCTAGCTACCTATCCTCCTGCTCCTCCTCCACCTCTCTTAGTCTCTACACCTTACTTGAGGTTCTCTCCGTTTTTATCTCCTCGTTATTTATTTCCGACTGTGCTGTCCTCCTAGGTTTCCTCGAGCGAACGGCAATGCCACGCGTAGACCGGAATTGTTTCTAATGTGATTTACAGTTTACACCATCGAGTCTCTTGCCTCGTGATCCCGCGCGGTGTCGTTCACTTTTCATTTCGAACGATCGGTTCACTTTCATGTCACTGTACCATTCGGACTTTACCGCACCATGGTCCCACTGTTCGAGCTTTCGTTGGACTCACCGTGAAACGAGTACGGGGTGATCACTGTCACCGTCGTTGTCGCCGTCGTCGCCGTCGTCGTCGTCGTCGTCGCCGTCGTCGTCGTAGTCGTAGTCGCCGTCGTCGTCGTCGTCGTAGTCGCCGCCGTGCCTTTATACCGAGGCGTAACCATAGTGATTACCGATCGATAGAAGGCATGCGCGGTCCAATGTTCTCTGCGTATAAAATGAAAGAACCGCCCTCGCCTTTACTACCCCGTATAGTTTCTGATAAACATTGGAATCGTAACTGTAACCATGGCCTTTCAGACTTTCCCGACGAATGCGAGAACGTCTCCGATAACGCCCTACTACTCGAGTTCCTTAAAATTACGGTCGCTTAGGTACCATTTCACCTCTTCCTACGTTTCTCACCGTTGCCTACGTTTCAACTCTTGCGATAAGGGACGCAGCACGGCATTTGGTCTCCCGAGTCAACAGACCGCGCAAGCTTTTCATAACTTAGTAATTGAAGTACCTGCTATGCCATTTATAATAAGACCATTGTAAAACCCACTTGAATGCAGCAACGCCGTTAGAAAGTTTCTTCGAGGTTCTGATGATAGTTATAATGGGCTGAGCGAAGAATAAACGACGGTTGTAAATAGTATCGTTTATCTAGCGAATAGAATTGTTGAATTAGAAGGATGATTGTATGGTTGAACGAGATGCAATTAAATTCCACAAACGCAAAACTCTAACACATTAGTTATCACCTTCTCGGTTACAATATTTTGTTGAGCGGAACATACCTACTCGACATTCTCTGACAAAGAAAGATCATTGTAAATCACCTGAATATTGCACTACGCGTTGTAACTTTGTACATATAATGATATGTGTAGAATCATGATGAAATCATGATCATCCCACATACGTATGTAGCGACGGTGGCAGATGTTCCAAATATATATGTAGAAACGAAGAATTTAGTGAGCATAGAAAATGATTTTGCTGAAAAAGAGACAATCTCGAACAGCTAATGTGAATGTGTCAAAACCAATGTTACCTTGTCCCGCGCCTAAACGCTCCATCTATCGGGTAACGAAAATTGCAATAGAGGTTGCAATTAGGTACGGTAGATATATTAGATTAGGTACGGTATATGGAAAGTAGGCTCCCTCCAAATAATAGAATAACTATTTGCTTTCCTTTTTCCTCAGCAATAATCTAATACAGTAATCAACATAATAATGGGAAATACGTTAATAAAAATCAATTTGTTATTTCCATTTTTTAATTTTATTAACACACATTTTCGTACTTTAAGTGTGTGCAATAATCATGTTAATAATAAAATCTACTGCGTATATCAAGTTATATAAATATGTATGTATGTACATTGTATGTATAAATGATAAAATGATACCGGCAAAACAAACACGACGCAAAATGCTAACGCTCAATTGATGTTATCTACGTTGAAGATCAGACGTATTAAATTTTCTTGCGATTCAGCATTGTTTGTACATTTATTAAATTATACTTGAATGTGTACATCTATATAAAAACTTTTATTGTATCGATTGAGACAAAATTCTTTTGGTACTTGAAGCATTAAATAGAAACGAAATCAAACATTTGATCATAACCTATTTTTCAAATTTAATGCTTTTCAGTGTTCAATCGCAATTACTTAACTCGAAAGATGTTAAAAAGGGCAGTATGGCGTTTAAAATCAACATTTTGGAATGTTCAATCACGACCCGCTAGTAAGTTGTCAGTCAAACATAAGGAAAATATTGAAGACAAAATGCAAGCATGGCAGATACACTCGTATGATGGTTTAGAAGAATTAAAGTTGTCAAACGTCAGAATTCCAATAATCGCTAGACCAACAGATGTATTAATAAAAGTCGAAGCGTCTAGCGTGAATCCAATAGACATTGCTATGACAAGTATAAAATTTCTTATTAATTATTATTTCTCTACTATCTAAGCTTAATCGGACAAAACCTGGTACATATTTTCTGTATGCTGTTTGTTAGAAGGATATGGATCAGCAGTTTTAAATTTTATGCGAAAAGCAAGAACATTTACCAGTGGTGGACAATACGAAGGATTGGAACTACCTTTAACGCTTGGTAGAGATTTTTCTGGTATAATAGTTTCAAAAGGACACGGTGTGGGCAATAGATTAAAGTTAGGCGACAAAGTATGGGGTGTTGTACCAGTTGAACAACAAGGTTGTCATGCTGGTTATGTAATTGTAGATAATACCTTGGTAAATAATACGTTTCTATATATTCAATCAATGGAAAACAAACATGTGCTATGTATAGCATAAAAAGTATATAAATAATTTTAAACAATATTCCTCCTTAGGTCAGTTTGCAACCTAAGAATCTATCTTACATTGAAGCAGCTAGTATATTATATGCAGGGCTTACAGCATGGTCTGCATTATGGATTACTGGTGGATTATGTTATAAAACTGCCATGGCCATCAGAAAGAATAACAGAATTTTAATATTGGGTGGTTCAGGTGGTGTAGGAACTATGGCTATACAACTTGCAAAGGCTTGGAATATGCATGTATGTTTCATACAGAGTTTGTGTTACTTATTGATTACGAGTACTATAAAAGTGTAAACACAATTTGTTTAGGTCATAACCACTTGCAGCAGTGATGCAGTTAATCTAGTGCATAAATTAGGAGCCGATGTTGTAATTGATTATAAATTGAATGATGCAGATTCCAAAATAATTATGGAGGGACCGTATGTAACTTATTTATCAGGCAAATATTCGAGCTGTATTCAAGAAATGTATTCATGATAATATCTGGCTGCAGATACAGCATAATTTTGGATTGTGCTAATCAAGGTCCCTATGAAATACGTTCAAAAGGTTATCCCCATTGTACATACATAACTTTAAATTCACCATTATTAAAAAATATTGATCAACATGGACTAATTGCCGGAGCTGTAAAAAACGTGGGAGAGTTGATCAGGTATAACGTTCCAACGGTCGAAAATAAAAGTTGCGTAAAATGGGGCTTTTTTGCACCTTCTCAAACAGGAATTAAAACCCTTCAAGAATATGTTGAAAGTGGAGAGGTATATTAATTACTTTATAACAACTGTATCACATATTAACTAGAGTTATGACAACATGCAATTAATTCTAGGTTGTTCCTGTAGTTAAAAAAGTATATCCATTCCAAGAGTTACCAGTGGCATACAATCGAGTGGCACAAGGCCACTTAAGAGGTAAAATAGTTATTGATATGAGATAACACTAGCAATGCAAAAAATTATAAAAAGTAGCAGGTGTGTGTGTAAAACAGAAACCCGTCTGTGATCGTCAATGAGAATACGTGTTTTACTTTAATAAATTCTAATTATATTTTGTATATAGTATTCTGTACAGTCTGGTTTTCAATATGTTGAAAATTGCCATCTCCAAAGCCTACTTTGTCTCGAACCTGCTGCCAAGTTTCTTCTGCAATTTCTGTTGCTCTTTCCTTGCCATCTTTCAATACTTCGCTTAAATATACTGGTTCCTTGATTAATCTTGTGAATTCTTCTCTTATTGGAGACAGCTTTTCTATAATTAAGTCTGCTAATAGCAATTTATATCTGTACACATAAATGAAAAAATATATAAAAGTCTACAATAACTATACAATTTGCAACATAGAATATACAAAATTGTTAATTTCCTTACTGTGCAGTACTCGATCCTTGCATTTCCAAACATATTTCATCTGACGTTTGTCCAGTAAACATAGAATGAATGGTGATTAAATTAGCAACTCCAGGTCGTTCATTCGGTTCGTAAGTTATCTCAGATGTAAAATCGGTTACAGCTTTCTTTACTTTTTCTTTCAAAATGCTTGGTTCATCCAGTATGTTTATTCTACTCTTTGGACTTTGGTCTGATTTAGACATTTTTTTCATTGGATCGCGCAATGACCGTATTCGATGACTTGCATCTTCTGTAATATGAAAATATATTAGCAATTGTTTTACATATCTAGAAAGTGTATGTAAATTTACCATTTATTAAAGCATGTGGCACACAAAATATTTTGCCAATTTTATTGTTAAATGAAACAGCCAATTCTTGTGCTAACTCAATATGTTGAATTTGATCTTCACCACATGGAACATGGGTTGCTCTGCACCATACAATTTACAAAAGTATTATATATGAGCCCTTAGAAAATCATATGTATAAAACATTTATTCCAACAATACTATATTAACAAGTCGAATAAGCTGAAAAAATACACTGTGAATATTTTATATAAAATACTCACCTGTATAATAATATATCAGCTGCTTGTAAAACAGGATAGACATACAAACCTAATGGGACAAATTTTACTGTTTGGCTTTTCTCTTTAAACTGGGGTAAGTGTGCTAATCTTGCTAAAGTTGTTATACATCCAAGAACCCAATATAATTCTGCATGCATAGGTACTGCAGATTGTTGAAATAATATGCTCTTCTTTGGATCTATACCACATGCTAATAATGTAGCTGTCATTCTCATTATATTATTGTGTAATTCTTTGCGGTCCTAGAATAATTAGTTTCAAGGGAGTTTTTACATTCTATTTAAATAACTGCAATGTTCTTTCAAAGTAAAAATGATATTGCAATTTAAGAACTTACTTGAGGTAAAGTAATAGCATGCATGTCCACTACACTCCAAATAACATTTTTTTCGTTATATTGCAATTCTACCCATTTTTTGATAGCACCCAAGTAATTTCCTATATGAATATCTCCAGTCGGTTGTATTCCGGAAAATATTCGCCTCGGATAATTCAACTTGGAACCCTGTAAATTTGATTTTATGTTGTTTATATGTTATTTCATATATTTTCCACATACGTTTAAATATATGAAAATCCAACCTTGCCACTGCTGTATTGTCTTCTGCACATACATTTGCAGATAACACAACGTGTCTGGGACGCTACAGTATTTTTCAGTAGTGTTAACATTTTGTATAAGCAATTAAAAGACGTAATTCTGAAGTAGTTTTATCATTGAATGCCAACATTGAATCTGTAAACTATACATACTATAAAATTACTTCTCCAAAGCCGTAATGAACGACATGTTTTGAACTCCACGTGCTACTCTTTGTATAATGCACATGTGTATATATACACGATAGACGCATATATATAATATGCATATGTCACTGTGCATATGATGTAGTAATACAGAGGTAACGTGAATGTATTATAGCATTATACATACAGCGATGCAAAGCTGCAAGTTCTCCGACCGCAGCTCGCTGCGTTAGTGAGAAAAGAAGTAGAAATTGCTTTACTCTGATTGGTTGAAGATTCAATGTTAAGACAGAATTCACTGCATATTGGATGTGCAGTAAAATACTTGGATACAAACACTTTCTTAGAAAAAAAGAAAAATCTTACATGAATTAAAGTATCACTGTATCTAAATTTGTTAACTTTAATATCTTACATATGTATGTACAAATGTTTTCAAAATGATATTACTATGTTCACCCCTAGAGCAAATATACATATGTACATATGTACAATTTGATTCCTTCAAACTTGACACTACGGGAAGCCTGGGGGAGCCACACAATTATAAATTCTATATGTGCGTAACACTTTCTTTAAAAGAATATTCAATGACAAAAACAATTTTAATACGAATTCGCGCGAAAATTCTGTTTGGCTTTGTGTGACGTTCTATTCGATTTTATTACATATGTACCTACATCATTTTGTGGGATACAAGTACTTGACAGTTTTGTTAGTTTCTTTAAAATTAAATTGAACTTTACGAAAAGTGATCATGTGGTTATCAAATTTAGATACTAGTTCTGGAGGTGGCTTTTTAGGCAATAGTCGAAAAGGTGGGCAAGATGTTGAGAAAATGCGGAGAGCGCAAAACATTGTCCCAGCAATGATAAAAACCTTGCTAGCGCACCTTCTACCGATGAGATAAATTTTTGGGGCACTCGAGCGCGTATGTTCTTAATTCTTGGAATAGTGAGAAATATTGAAGAAACCGCAACAAAAATATCTTACGAAATTGAAGATGATTCAGGTATGATTTATTAAATTTTATATTTTTGTTTTGATTCATTAATATTATGTATATTTATGTTTATTGTATATTCTACGTTTAGGTAAAATAACAGCACTGAAATGGTTAGAAGCAGATAAAAAAGAATCATTGGTTTACTTAGAGAACAAAATGATAAACGGCACGTTCTTATTTTGCGTATATGACCATTAGAATGCTTAAATGGGTTGACAAATCATCTTCTTGAGACTCTGTATGTTAGAATAAAAAGTAAAGCAATGATGAAAGCAAAGAATAAAGCAGCGATTCATCAAAGTGGATCAAGTGAGGATTCTAATTATTATGGAATGACGGGAGATCAAACTTTAATTTATAAAATTATTCAAGCCCACAATAACACTGAATCTGGTATTGAAAGATATGAAATTAGGAAACAAGTTTCATCCAGAATTGCGTCACAGATGGATAACATATTAGAAGAACTGGTTTCTGAAGGTCACATATATACAAGTACAGAAGATTACTTCAAAACAACTGAAGTTTATATAGTATTATTGAAAATTATTCATACAGAAGTAATGTAAAAATATTAGCACAAAATAATTGTGCATAATTGCGAAGCTATATTCAGTCATATTCATGATGAATCTTATAGACTCATGTGCACTAAGAAGTGGTTCTTGGAACATTATCTATGTTACATTTGCTTACCAAGAGATCTGAAAATTGGCATTCCCGTTTATGTTTAAATTACGGTATATGTACAAAGTCATGCAACCATTTCATTATGGTACAAATATAAAATACAAATGTTTGTTAAGAAATAAATGTTATTAATAATATAAATTAATAGTAACAGTTGGTGGTGGATTAATGGTTAAATTCTTGTTATAGTCTTACAAATTTGCTACAATTGTGTTGCTGTT